TTAGGGGAGAGATGAAGCCCATCCCGCCCCAGCAATCCAGAATTCAGAATCACTACTTCTGAGTAAAGCACCCACATCAAAAAAGGGTGGGTGCAGCTTTGGCCTATCTCTAATATATGACTGTTCCAATCTCTTCTGGCATCAGCAGGCTTTTAAAATCTACACAAACTCTCTCTTAGCAGTAGTCGCCCCTTTGATCTTTTGATTGATGTCAGACAGGTTGTTTGCAATGAGGAGTGGGTTAGATCTGTTGCTCAAATAAAAAAAACTCTGAATCACTAACCTGTGAATCAGAAGAAAAGTGGCAGATAGGTTAGCCAGAGAGGACCATGTAGCACTGGTTAGGTACTGCAAAGAATGAAAAGCATTGCCATGGAAATGTACACAGCAGGCAACAGCTGAGGAAGGGGGCAGAGAATGACCTGTTATGTTTGAAAATTAAATAGGCATTGCTATTCTTAAGAAATTGTGGACCTTTTTAAAGTGTTCTTGTCAGTAAGAGAAATCTTGATTAGACGTTCCAAATCTAATGCTGTAGAACTATTGTGATCTCACTTACACAATCTGCCCTCAAACCTGTGGTCCTACATTTGTTAATACAGGTATATACAGAACGTTTTGATAGTAGTAAATCTTACCTCCTTGGAGACTTGGAACCACTTGGTAGGTTGTATCCTTTAGGAGAAAGCATATATTTTCCCTCTTTCAGTTCTTCACAAAATGAATACTATAGTTCCTTTAAAAAATGTTTAAGCAAGATGCAGTTCATTTTCAGTTAGCTAAATGTTCAGTGTGCAGGAAACAACAGAAAAAAATTAATTCCTCCTAACAACGCAGGGGAAGAATATCTGGTAGTGAATAGCTCTCAGTAGTATCCATACCGTAGTTCTGCTGATTCGCTTATACTTTGTTAGCCAGTACTTGTGAGTGTGGAGTGGTGGAAAACAATGTCACTGGGTCTGAAATAAATGCTTTCAACTGTTTGATATTCCTTTTATTTTGGGAATACTTCTTGAGGGCTCTGAATGAGAGTTCCTAAAAGGAAACAGCACTGAACATCTGCTAACTTGTTTGTGCGTCTTACATTTGAGACTGAGGTTATTTGCCTGGAGCATCAACAGAAACTGGACTGTTTGGAGACACTTGCACAAAAGTCAGTCTTGTTTGTAAACCAGCTGCGGTTTTGAAAGCTGCTGAGGTGTGCTGTCCTGTCATCAGCAAGGCAGAATTCTCATTGTGCCCCTATGTAGCTTCACTGACATCTGGAGAGGATCCTAGATGTAAATGGAAACCAGATTTTACTGTCTAAGCATACTTCAAGGAGGTGCACAAATCTTAGGGTTTCCTAAAACTGTTGTTCAATAATTGACATACGCATGATGCTCCTAGGTGACAGTTGTGCTTTTTCATCCTGCTCTTCCTTGTCAACCCTGTTTGACATGAGTTACTGCTATTCTCATCATGATCTGTGTTACAGAAGCTTCTAAGAAGACCTTTCCTTCATTAGGTCCTGCATGTTCATGGCACCGTATAATTTTGAATTAACGAACAACCTTAAAAGTGAGGGGAGCCAGCTCACTAGAAGTTCTAGTTAAGTCAGCACTGAACTTCATTGGCATTTAATTTTAATGCATGAATGACTACTTCCTTTTTCTGCTGCATGACTCAAAAGCCATGTATGTTGCTTTCTTTTCAGAGCTGTTGGCTTAATGTGGTTTTATTTGTTATATGTTACAAGAAAAATTGCAGTGTACCTCTTTTCACTTTCATTCCAGGTCACAAAAGTGAAGACAGACCGTCCCAAGCCTGAGAATCCCTATCATTCCAGATCTAGACCACAGCCAAATCCATCCTATGACGGAGAGTTGAAGTCTTCTACACATGGCAGTAGGAGCTTTTTCTGGCCGTGGTAAACGGGACAGAACACTCTGTAGCTCCAACTCTGAGGCCTGTCCTTTACCAATGTAAACTATCTTGTCCAGCATGTATCAGGTGAAATCCTTATTCTGTAATGATTAAAAACATTTACTGGCTTGGTAGACTTGTCTTTTTTTCCTTTCTGCATCCAGCCATGATGACAGATTAAGAATGATGTTCTCCAGGCTGCAAATGTTTTCTAGAATCTTACAGACTTCAAAGACAATTTCCTTCTATCAGCTTGATACACAGTCAGTTCTGTCTTTGAAGTCAGTTACTCAGCCATGAGTCTGGACTGACCCCAAGACTTACCAAGCACCACATGTAAGTGGGGTTTGTTTTGTCAGTTACTGTCATCTGCAAACAGAATTGGGGACTGCTGGCGGTCCAGCATTTTCATTGGCCTCTTACATTCCACTTGTCTCTGGAATATTCATCTTTCCAACAAAACGTTTCTTAAAATTGTGCCATGAAAATCCCTCCAGACTAGGTCTTGAATCAAACAGACCATGTGGGAGCCCTAACAGCTTGCCAGTATGTCTTCCATTAAAGATTCCCCACACTATTGATGATAAGCATGTTTTGTGCTGCTTCCATCAAGCGCTTTATAAAGGTGATTAACATGCAGAGGTTAAAACTAGTGACGAACCCTTACATGGGTGATTTGAAGTATGAAGTGCTTTTTAAACAACAATCTGTGTTTTAAAGATTTCTCGTTAGAAATTGGATACCACTTCAGATACTAAGATCGTTGTTTCTTAAATTCACGTGACCAAGCTTGCCTCATGTAGATAACCTAAGTGTTTTCATCCTTCAGCTCCTTGCTGGGGAATAAATATGGTGTATGGGAAGAACACTCAAAATATCTAACCTGAATAATTTCCCAGTACCACATATCACAGCAACACAGTCCTTTTTAAGTAGGCATTTTGACATTGGGGTGAAGTTCTAAATGCAACAGTACCCAAGCTTCATCTAAAAGGCATATTCTTCATTTCTTTTAGCTACCCACTTTTTCGCTTTCATGATATCCAAGGGGTAAGCCACGCACTTACTGTCAATGCAAGGATCAGAAAATCTCTCTTGCTGTTGTGAAGCTAGAGAGGTACAGCTTGGGCTAGAAACACGTGCTGACTTAGGATTGTGTTGTATTTATGTCATCACACCTATAGGAAAGGTCACCCATGAGGATGTTTTGCCTTTGGTGTCACCTGGCAGGATGATTGTGAGGAAGGGAGAGTCTCCCAGGTATCGTATTTTTCTGGGGGAGGGTGAACCTATAGCAGGTCTGTAGCTGGTGAAACGCATCCCCTTCCATGTGCCAATATGCCAGTGGAGTGAAGAGGCTCTGACCTCTCCTTGCTCTTCTGCACACCTGTTGGGGTGGTGGTTGGAATGGATGTAATCGGTGATAACTGAGGAAGAGACACTTCATGCAGCCTTACTCCCTGGCTATGGCAGGCAGGATGGGTGGGATCCTGCCTGCAGTCAGGGATGGCTCCTGTAAAACAAGCCTTGGATTTTTTCCCTTACAAAATATTCTTCCCAAGCTCATGATTTTGCTGAATTTTGCACTGGAGTTATGTTGGGAAGTCACACAAACATACCTCTAACACCCCCTGCCCTATTATGAGGAGTACCCCAAGTCATTCTCTGCAGGAGAGATGGCACTGCCATTCTTTGATGAGCCACAGTTTGTAACTTAGCTCTTTTATTCTAAGATTTTTTTTCACCCTCTGAAACTCTGTACTACCAATGCTGTTCCTCTGATTGGGCCTAGTAAGGACTTAGATTCTCTTTCCTCTTGGTTCCTGTGATAACTTAGCTCTACTTGATGAGGTAGGTGGTGTTTTCATTTTTTGGGGAGGGCATCCATCAGAATCTGTCCTGCTCTTTTAATGACTGACCTCAGTTCTACCTATGGAAGTCTGGCATGGTGTGTCTGTGTCCTTACGCTGCGTATGAACTCTGAGGAGACTTGGGTGAGCTGAAAATAGTAACCTGTGGAACCAAGGAAGTGTCTTCAAGCAGATCTATATACTAATAGCACATGTGCAGTACAACTTCTGATCTGCTGTGTTTTACTTGATAGTTTGAAGGGTGTCCACAGGAAACAGGTGCTATTTCTGAGATGGTGTGTGCTCTTCCCATTCTCCTTCAAGAAGGTTCAAGCACAGAATTGCTTACGGTCAAAGCAGACACTCTTAATACTGTGGAGTATTCACTTCCTTTCTGTCATCATTTAAATGGGGGGCATGCCAGATAGCTAATTGCATTCAGCTGAGTAAGTGGATGTGGTGTTTGGCCAAATAGACACCAAGTGATACAATCGCATGTACATATTGTGTGTGATTTCTATTTTTCCCCCTCAAACTGTTACTGCCGAACTATTGGAATTGGTTGGAAATCTTGCAGAAGAGCCTGTTAGATATTACTTAGCCTGTTTTGCTAATAACTTACTATTGTCAGCATTATGCGTGAGACACTGCATGGCTGAGCATCTGCTTTTTAATGAACAGACAATGGCATGATAGTAGTGAACCTCTCATCATAATTAACTGGTATTTTTCCTTGGGAAGTCTTTTCTGAAAAGAATGACAGTTTTTAGGAATTTAACGTTGTAGTGTGTCAAAGAGATCTTTAGTAGACCAATGCAGTAAGGAAGGATAAATACTATGGTGTATGCTGGCGCCCTCGAGGTGCAAGATTGCAAAGCTGCGTTGTGACATGGATAGGTCTCTGAGCAAAATACGGGATTGTTTTCAAACAGAGGAATTAAATAAGCCCTTCAGGTGTCTGGAGCTCTCTGGGTTCCTCAGCTCACTTCTGAGCAGTGGTGGGAAGGTAGATGTGAGACAGGACACACACAGCTGATGGCTATAGGGAAGAAGGGAAACAAAACTGATCCTATTCTGGTGGAATTCAGCAGTTTTTTAGACCTTGTCTGGCTCATCATAAAAGGAGGGAATAGTCTAGGCTAGCTTTGCTTGATGCACCAAGGAGGAAGCACTGCCTCTTATTCAGCTTCACATGGGTAGTGGGAAAGTATTTTGAGCAAAGCTGAATAGCAGCAGTTTGACCGCATCCTGCTTTAAGCCAGGATTTCCCAGCCTTCCTGATTTTAAACCTGCTAGTAACAATTTTGAACAACTGCAGATCCATGATTCAGCTTTTCAAGAAGCTAAAACTTGTCCATCACTATCATCTGGTCCTTTTGGCACTAAGAAAATGCTGTGCAAGAATTATTCTGGATAAAAAGAAGTACTAAGGTCAGATTGGGGAGTGGAAATCAGAAATGTAATTACAAGACGGTGTTCCTTTTTAATTTAAGAGTTTCATGCAGATGATCCAAGCATGCCCTTTCTGTAAGGTTTTCTTAATGAATTCAGCTCTTCTGCAGTGGAAAGGTTTTGAGCTGAAAGGAAAATATAATAAATGGAAGTTAATTTGGTATTATGAACTGGAAGTGTAGCATGACTTCTGCTACATTCAATTTAAATAATTTTAAAAACACTTTTGAATGTTTAAAAATGTATTCAAATTACCACTAAAACATTCTTAATAATGGCACAACATCTTGGGGTTGAAGAGTGATGACTTAATTATACTGCATATGCTTAATCTCATGTTTGTTCTAGAAATTATCTTTAAAAACTTGTCCAATATTTCAAGACTTTTTTTCGTAGGCTCCTGAATGTACATCACTTATTTTCTGCCTTTTAAAAGGGTATGTTTGCCTGACATAAAACCTCTGCTACTGAATGGCTTCCACTTGAGAGACCTAACATGCTTTCTGAGACTCATCAACAGGCACAACTTCTTTTCTGAAATGGGGCATAGGGCTTTCTGAAAACTACTCTTGCTTTACCCGAATTCAGACCGAATTCTCCAGGGGAGCTGTAGCTGAGTGATGTGCCTGCTGTTGTGAGTTCAGCTCTGCATGTGAGCAGAGTTTAATTTCTCGACATTCAGAACCCTGAGCTTTGGGGCTGACTATGAAAATAAAGGTGTTTTAATTATTGAAGAGAGGCCTGAAGTAGATAGCCTGACTGACAGAGCTGCATTGAAACTGTTAGCTCATTTCAGAGAAGTTTGTATAGAATAACTACCCTTTGGTCACGGCATATCTGGGCTGAATTGGAAGCAGTAAGAAAGAGGTGGAAGGTTCTGTATCTCTCTTCCCAACTGTTGTCATGGCCCTCATCAGGATTCATTTACTGTTTGTAGCACTATCTGTTCAATATTGTTATAGAGGTATGATGTTTTCTTGGAAACTTCAGAACAAGCAAGTGTCAGGGTTGAGTTAAGACCATAAAACCATCTTTTGAGGAATGTATCCTGACACTTCTCTGGCAGAGAGAGAGCAAGCACATGTAGACTCAAGGCAGAGGTTTTTGCTGGCAGGATGTAAAGCGCTGTTTGCTGTAGAGTATAGGCTGAAAGCTTTGCCAGGTCTTGTCCCAGCACATGCGGAAAATGAACTGTTACTGTCAGAAACTTGCAAGCCGGTGTTGTGGTTGCTTGCCACATGAAAGGCTGGATTAGGGAGGCCCTGCTGCACTCTTCCAAATTTTGGCATAGAAGAAATGACGTCCTATTGGAATTTCCAATCTCGGTGCTTTAGGGCAAGAGGTTGTCTTGGACGCAGCTGATGTGGGGAGCAGCACTAGCTCAATAATTAGAAACGGAGCATCCTTCTCCAGCCCCCATGATTTCCAATTGAGAATTCACAGCCTCGATGTGTCTGGCAATTTGAACTTCGTTAATCTGGAACACTAGAGCAGGAGAAAACATTTGGGACGGCCAGAGAGGCAAGGTCTGCTCCATGTATAAAGCACCAAGCTTTGGACAGAGGCGTGCAAATGAAGCAAAGGAGCCTTTGCAGATGTAAGTGCAGAACCGTATAGAGTGGGATGACACGAGCATGCTGAGAAGGTGAGAGCGCCAGTCCATACAACGTTAGGAAACCACACACCCATGTGCTCCTTTCACACGTTTTCCTCTGCATTCAGCTGCAGCGTGGGTTGAGTGTGCAAAAGCACAAGAAGAGAGCACCGCTCCATCGTGAGCTGAAGCCCAATATCCTTTGTTACCATCCCCTTAGGGAAAGGGCATAATTGGC